AGTAACACCCACTATTCTTCTCCATTAACCTCCCACTACTTCTTACCATTATGGATGTAACTCCCACACCTCCATGATCTTCCCCCATGTTCTCAATAGTTAATACCATGTTTATGGCATCCCTTTGTATTACCTATATCATCCTATAAATAGAGGGTTTGGGCATCACATTGTACACACTTGAATACATGTAAGAAATAAGAATCTCTTCTCTCTTGCTCCCTACATTCTTATCTATTTTCGTGTTTTATATTATTACTTTGATCTACATTTCGTGACATCAAGTTACTTTTAAAGGTGAAATTATTTCACTGAACTAACGGGGATAGAATTTTAAGAGAGAGCTTAAAGAAAAGCAATACGATAAATGATCTAATATTTTTTTGAATTTTTAATTTCATCATGTTTAAATTTTTATACAACCGAATTAAATTGACTTACAACGATGTGTAACTCTTCCTAGTCTTCTTGCATTTGGTATTAATTAAGCATGAACTTTCACATTTGCATTCACAGTCATATTTTTTTCCCTTTCCCTTCACCAAAAAAAAAGGAATTAACTTAAATAGCTGCCTAACAAGCGTTTAAGCTTAAAAAAGTCGACGGATGTATAATATATTTATAATTTATATATAGTGAATGTATAATCACGTATAATTTATGTATACTGACTAAAAAAAGTAAACAGTAAATTCGACCGGCAATTTGTATAAAGATCCCTAAAAAGAAAGACAAACAACTAAGAAGGAAGAAGTCCAGGAGCTAGATCCAGTCTTTCGAAGCCCATATCCAGTTTGGTCCTATCTCCAGGCCCACTTCTAGTATATCCTCCACTCAATCTTGGCTAAGCTCATGTTTTTATTTTTATTTTTTGCTAAGGAGTAGCATTTTATTAAAAACATGAAGTAAATTTATTACAAATCAACTAATGTATCAAATTTATTAAAAACATAAAGTAAATAAGTCTCAACTTACCAACCTCTAGCCATTAGTCATAGACTTACCAAAACTAGCCAAACGCATATAAAAATTGAAAAATCAAATAAATAAGGTTCTTTCTCTCAAAAGCCCATTTATCAATCACATTTTCAGGCACACCAGTCAAAGAGCCATCGGACCCATGAGAGTCCCCTTTTTTGACTAATATATCACATGCAAAAATCTCCTCCTATATTTTTAAGCGTGATTAGCAACATTAGATGCACGGCGGAAAGAAAATTTCATGGATGAGGTAGAAAATAGGGTGATGAAATACAAAAAAAATACAATATTCCAAAAATCTAAGCAAAAAAGGAACGTTTCAATAGGTATAACTGAAATTCATTAAACATATAGATAAGACAATATACAAAATTTCAGGTGATATGGATTGGTTTTGTATCAAAATTCGTAATTAAATCGAGTTCAAAAAATTCCTCTGCGACACATGTATCACGCATGTATCTCACACACATGTATATATGGATATACTTGTGATATACAATTGATACAAATATTATAAATATGTGAAACACAAATGATACTCAGTCATTTTTTTCATGTTCAGTTTTTACTTCGAATTTTCAATTCAAACCACCTCAAAGTTTTTACTTCGAATTTTCAATTTAAACCACCTCAAAACTTCACCAAATCATCCCAAAACTAAGATCTAAGCTCCTTAAGATGTACCTAATCTATTCTAATAACACCCTCTAAAAAAGCAAAAATTTGACCTTTTTTGCTACAAATAGCTAAGTGGCTAATATTAGTAATATTTATGTATTGACCAATTTTTGTAATGAGCTACTTATAAATTGACATATCTGGTAGTTTTCCTAACTAAAATGAGCTCTATGAGCTCATTGGCAAGTTCAGATTCCATAAATTTCAAATTCTGGCTCTGCCTTTGCCGGTCCATAGTGCTACATTTTCGTGTGAAATATGCTAAATATGATGAGGTGGACCTTAGATTTTACATCGAGAGAAGTTACTCGAAGGACCTACAATTTCTCGTAATCATGCGAACTTAATTAAGAGCTATGTAGATTAATAATAGCAAATTAAAGTATCGATATTGATTATATGATACGAACTATAGTCTGGATTGAGGTTAAATTGTTGTTAAAATCGATTCCCAACCAAAACATTTAGAAAATGAAAAAAAAAAATTAGTGAAGAGAGGCTAAGATATTATTAGAGAAGTCAAGTGCTTGTAAAAATAGGAACATTGTAAAATCCAAAGTCATGTACATGTGTTATTAAGGGGAGGACCAGTTCTTGTCTAGTTGACCTTTGTAGACACCTCAATTTTCATGTTTGTTTTTTTGTTTTTTTTGGTGAAATTGTCATGTTTCATTAACCAACGGCAATTTTCATTAAAGGACCATTTATCAGGTTTAATTGTTGTTTTGTAAAGGCAAAATACATAAGTTACCCCCTAAATTATATACCAAATTCCTGTTATATATTTTTTGCTGACGAAAATCATATTACACACTCAACCTTTTCAAAGTGTATCTGGTACACACTACTTTTTCTTTGACCAATTTTTCAGAACACGTGTAATGTCACGCACCAATCAAATAGTGACACGCGTGATTTTAAAATAAAATAATTAAAATGACAATTATACCTCTCATCTTCCCCATCTCACTACCATGGTTGTCTTCCTACTCTCTTCACCATCAAACATTATAGCCTCTTTCTCCACCTTTTACTTAATGACAAAGCCACTACTAACTAACAAATCACCAACACACCCAAAACTCCATCTTTTCCGCTGAAATTGATTCAAAATTTTGAGCCTAGATCCAACTCATTTTTCATTTCTCTTCTGTAAAAGTTTGACTACCGTTAACTGCCATCACCACAATTAAGCTATTTAAAAATTCATCCATTAATAAAATTAAAGAATGTGCAGCTTGAGTTAAGCTCTAATGGTTGGCAAAAAATTTGAAAAACTCTTGCTTCGAAAAAATTTGACTTCGCCATAGGTAAAGCTCAAGTGAAGCTTCTCTGCAAAAAAGGAGAAAAATTCTATGCAAAAGGTTGAGGCACTGCTGAATCTAATCTAAATTTCTCGCCAAAAGATCTGGAAATAAAAATTAAAAACTAATCAATGAGAGAGATATGAGAAATTGTGGTATGTCTATTTGAGAAGAAGGAGATCGGGTGGTGGATCTCAAGGAGTAGCCATGGCAGAATTTTTAAAAAAGGAAGAAGATGACTCAATTTTAAAAAATTTAAAAAAAAATGACATCTCACATAAAATTCTTCTGTTCACGCAACTCATTCGTTGGTAAAAACAAGCACTGTCCACGTGGGCAAAGTAGTGTGTATTAGACTATTAGATACACTTTGGAAAGGTTGAGTGTGTAATGTGATTTTTGTCCACAAAAAGTGTGTAATAGGGATTTGGTCTATAGTTCAGGGGGTAACTTATGTATTTTGCCTTTTGTAAATACAGAGCAACTCATAATTTTATTAATTATTTTGCGCGCGCGGGGGAGGGGGCAAAAAGCCCTCTGCGGAGGTAGTCTTTAATTCGGTTGCAGATTCATCTGACACATAACTTTCGAATATATACATATATATATAAATATATATAAATATATATATATAAAATTTCAGTTTTGAATCCGCCTCTGGCCATGTGTCATTCATTGTATGCGTGCCTGAATGAAATGCAAAATGACCAGAGAAAGACTTATTAAAACCCCACGAAAAAAATGAATAAATGATAAATAATGATAATTTCAGAATATAAACACTTTGTTCCTCATCCATTGACTCCTCCATATGCTCGACTGGATCAATTCCCATGTCACCAACCAAACACAATGTTGAAAAGTGTTTAGAATGAGGTCCAATACGCTCTAACTCCGAAATTGCATTATTTTTGACATCCTCAATTTTGCACTCTTCGTCAACCTTGACATCATTAATAATATTTTGGTCGAATAGTTGGAATTCCTCTTTCTGCTTCACAAACTGGCCGGTATCCACAAAAATTGGTTGTAGGGCATCAGACGCCTCAACCTTAGCATCATCCACAAGAACATGGTCTGATAATTGGTATTCTCGTCTTAGCTCCTCAATTTGGCCTAGAAGATCTTTTCAACTTCACACAACTCATCACTAAATTGTTGGACGTTACACGCATCAACCTTTGCACTCAATTCTGCAACCATGTCGCGAATAGAGCTGCCAAATTGGTCGATTTCTTGTCTAAGATCAGTTCTTCCTTCTATCAGTTGTTCTGTCATATTTGAAAGACCATCACGAAGATACTCATGAGATTTTATTAGTTGAGCTTGTTCCTCTAATCAAGATTGGCTCACTATATCTGTTTCTTCCAAATTCTTAGGACAGGAGACCCTACATTGGCCTCATCTAAAGGCAGCCCAATAATCCCAAGATTCAGTCCTGACAAGTCAAACCAATCTATGAGATCAAGGTACGATTTGTTGGGCACGTTGACCTTCCCTAAGTCACACAAAATAGCCAAACAAAAACAATAAGACCCTATTATTAAACACCATATAAGATAATGTAGGCAGTTTGGTGCACAAAATATTTCGTATTTATGTAGGGTCCGGTGAAGGTCACACCCAATATTGGGTATTGATTCGGACAACCAAATTTAATGCAAGCATTAATTGTTGCTTCCACGGCTCAATCCCGTAATCTATATGACACACGGAAAGTACATTAGCGTTGCTCCAACGTTCCCCTTCCATAGCCACTCTTATTTCTTCTCACAAACCCAAGCATATTTTTCCTACTCACATCTATGTTAATATTTAACGCGAGGCAAGGCGATAGACCGTGTATTAAATTAGAGTGTATAATTATCTCATCTAAAAATTTAAACTTTTAGAAATAATACACTTTTAATTACTTAATTATATATATCATATCGAGATCAAGAGATGATCTGGCAATTCGTGCTTTGGGTGCATAAGAAAGCTCAACTAAATTTGTGACATATTATAATGATTTAGATCTTTTACGAATTAATATATCGAATTCTCAAGAGCATTAATTTGCTCCCAATATATATCTCGAGAATCTAAAATATAACATACAAATTTAGCATTCTTATATTAATGGCCAATACTTATTACTAACTATATGATATGCCTAGAGTGGCTAACTAGATACAAAAATTAGAAAATTATCAAATTATAATCTTCAACTAGCTAGTTGACATCATATGGGGCTATTTGCATGAATGAAACTGAATATTTGCTGGATTGAGTTTGCTATATCATCAGCTGTGTACCTCGTTTCACCAGAAATCTGCAAAATAAATAAATAAAGTAAAAATTAAATACCCTATTAAATGATGCAAAAAAGAACCTTGCTCATCTTAAATTTCTTTTGGAATTCTTTAAACTTATGTTGCTCAGACTCTTCAAAAAATGACGTCGGGTGCTTATCAGTTCCTCCAAAAATAGTGCGTTTTTGGAGGATTGGACAGGGATGCGACCAGAGGCGAAGCCAGAACTTCAAAAAGTTCTATATTTAGAACGCGACTTCAAGTGTTAGTGACTGGGTTCTAAATTTAATATTTGTACATATTTGATGAATTTTAAACACCAAATATATTGTTTGAGCAAAAGCGGTTGGGTTCAGCCGAACCCTACCTCCGCCCCTGGGTGCGACAACATTTTGGAGAGTCTGAGCAACATACCTTTAAACATTGTTAGTATGTGAAATCAATTAGGTGATATTATAAATACCTTGACATTGAATGAGTAGAGAACAGTTTGTTCAATAGTAGTAATATTTGTATGAAGAATATTAAGCTGCATATCTTCTAATGCAGCAATAGTCTTGATAAGTTGGCCAGGTCTTCTTCTTGATAGAATTTTGATCATTGCATCAAACCCTAGAAGTTTCACTTCAACATCAGCCAAACAAGACTTACTCTCAGCTGTTTCTTCTTGAATTCCTGCTTCAATATAATCATTTGGAAGAGGAAAGATTATTGGTTGCTGAGGATTATTAGGGTTTTGAATTGATGAATTATCTCCTAATGGTCTTGGACCATTATCTCCATATATTCTTCTCCTCTTTTGTGACTCAAGACATTGCAAGAGTTGTTCTAACTCTCTCACAAACTCAATTGCACCACCAATAATTGATGCTTGATCTCCCTACAATAATGTTGAAGACATCAGTAAGTAAATAAAACTGTGCTCTTTCTAACGGTTTAAGTTTTCAAATAAGATGGTCGCCACACACTTCAATATGGTATAAGAGCATGTCATAGAGGTTCTTTGTTCGAGCCTTACATGCCACCAATAAGACATTATCAAAAAGAATTTTCACGTCTTGGCCCAAGAATTAATTAGGCTCGCATGTGAGGGAACACATTGAAGATATCATTAAAGGGCAGCCCGGTGCACTAAGCTCCCGCTATGCACGGGGTCCAGGGATGGACCGGACTACAAGGGTCTATTGTACGCAACCTTACCTTGCATTTCTGCAAGAGGCTGTTTCCACGGCTCGAAACCCGTGACCTCCTGGTCAAATCATGAAATAAATAAAAGTATGCTCTCTCGAACAGTCTAAAGTACTTTTAGATGAAGTAGTCACACACAGTTCAATACTCTATACAAAAAACTTATGATACTATTTATTTTTCAAAAAAGTTAATTTTGTAGTCAAGAATTTAATACCCTTTGAACATAGGATCCTGGCATGAGAGACCTCAAAACTCGAAGATGTTCATTCATTTGCTTCCTTCTATTCCTTTCAACAGCAATATGTGTCATTCTTTGGCTTTCAACTTCCTCAGTAGTCTTTACTCTTGGTCTCTTTCTCTTATTGCTTTTGTTGCCTTCATTTCCTGGACTTCTTTCAATATTTTCACCAACATATGGTAATTGCATTGATGAATTAGCTTTTTCTTCTACAACTTTAAATTTCTCTTCTTTTTGTTGTACCGTTAGGGTTTCTTGATCATCATCTTGCAATGTCTTTTCGTTCAAAACTGGGAATTTAAGGAAGTAAACAGGATCAATCCCGACATCTTCCTCTGATACCTTGGCTTGATTCAGTGCTAATTTTGGTCCAAAATCTGCGAATTGCATCACATCCGCGAAGCTCAACTTGTCAAGAGAAGTACCAGAGGGACAAAACCCTAATGAACTCTCGTGTTGTTGTTGTTGTTGTTGTTGTACAGAATGAGAATTAAGTAAATAATCAACCATTTGATTTGTATTATTTGCTACATGAGAAGTTTCACCAACCATTTGAAAAGTTGTAGGCAAAGAAGCCTGCAATAATATTTCATGTTCAAAGTGAAACAACATGTTGTGAGGAGAGTCTAAAAATATAGTGATATGTCAAAGCAAGAGATATTACAAACAATGGAAAACTGAGGAAGTACGACTATATATATGTGTGTTTTGTGTACCTGGCTGTTTTCTCTTTTCTCCATTATATGTTTGTAGTTCCTTTGTTTTTACCCTAAAACTCTGACTGTTCACAAATTCATGCAAACTCAAAATTTTGGTGAATTTCACTCTTTGGGTCCACACCTGCATGAAACAGACAAATTCATCATCAAACTATCATGACAAGATTTTAAGAAACAAAAACGATAAAAAGATAGATATTCAGGAAAATATAATTTTGTAAAAAAAAAAAAAAAAAAGATAATACTATTACTATGAAAATTGAATTCTAAGAATCAAATGAAAAAAATTGTGTACAAGAAGCACCAGGTTCCTCAGAATCCAGTATTTTCTCAACGAGGAGTATAGATTTTTGCGTGTAAATCCACAAAAAATTTAACAAATATTAAATCCGAACCTATAATTTTAAACGTACAATAAATTCAGTACGATGAACCTTAAGTCTAATCCATCAAATTAAAATTTTGAATCCGTGCTCTGATAAGAAAGATAGAAATTTTCAGACTAACCTTTGGACGGACAACAAGAAAAGGATAAAACAAGAAGAGGTAAACTTAAGTTGGATTTGCTTGAAAAAACAAAAACCAAAAGGACAGACCAAAACGTATAATATATGGACCAGTTTTTCCAGCTAGAAGTTGTCTTTGACTTTTATGTGATATTTGTTTGTATTTATATATATAAAAATAAAATACATGCATATAAAGATAGATATATACATAAGAGGAGCCTGTGGATTAATTTCCACCTTACAAAGTTACTCACTTTTCACCTCCACCTATTAATGTGAATCACAGGTAGAACAACTTTACCACCTCTTTACATGAGATTTTAATAAATACTTAAGCGCTGTTATGTGATTTTTTTTTTTAAGATTTCAAGAGATTGAAAAAAATTCAAAGTTTGAATTTTTCTTTGGATTGCATATTGGAGATATTGCTTTAATAAAATTCATGCACGTGAGTACTTTAGCAGCCTAGAGATTGTCAATTGAAAAATTAATGTACGAAGGTGAATTGTCATCACTGGACTTGCTTCGCAGTGGGGCAAGTGAAACGAGACAAATTTAATTCGGTGTTTATATCAAACTAAATAATATAAGGTATGTATTGTGTATATGAATTTTTATTAGTTAATTATGGTTAATTAAGTGATCTATATTTTTGTTTTAATATATAACTCTTAAGATTAAATTATTTGATATGGTGTAAATATTAAGTCTTGAGTGAGCATGATTCTAACTCAGTCGTTTTGAGTTTTAGGACCCATTTTTTCTATTTGAGACTAAGTTCATTTGATGTTTCCACCTCAGTCGTTTTGAGTTCTAAGACCCACTTTTTCTATTTGACACTAAGTTCATTTGGTATTTTATGACTTACGATGGTTGGCTCGAGTTGTTTAAATAATATACGACCGTAACACTCACTCATAACAGATATTTCATCCGGTTCACAATAAGTGTCTTTTTTGACCTTTTTTTGTGGTTCAAAATATCTGATTTTTTCAGTTAAGAATGAATTAATTATTTTTTTCTTACATTGCCTTTGGAGTAAATAGTATTAAAGTATGTGTTAGGAGAGTTTATGTGAAGAGATAGTAAAGGTTAGTATGGTCAATTTCATTGCTAATTAATGTTAAAAGATAAATTTCTTAATTTGTGTAAAAGCAACTAAAAAGTCACTTATTGTAGATCGGACAGGAGGGAGTACTATCTTGTCTTATTTCTCTAGCAAAGATGATTTCTTTCAATTTAAATTTCATTTTAAGTCCTTGTAAACAATGTTGACTTTCACAAAATTGACATCTAAAACAGTAATATTACACTCCGATAAAGTTATACTCCACGAGACTTGTACTTGCTCTTCGTTTTTCCTAGATAAAAGAGACACTAGCACGTTTACTTTCATATTCATCCAAATATTAAACAATAAATCATTTCAACTCTTTTTCCTAATAATTGTGCAAAGACAAACTAAAAAGGTTTAATTTGTAAACTACAAATCGAGTTGTCCAAACTGTACAAATAACAGAGTCAATAACGAAAATAAGTAGAATACATCTAAACAGTGTTAATCCTTTCTTTTTTCTTTTCCTTTTCTTGCCTTTCCAATGCAAGTCTTAAACGGAAAACTGTTGTTTGGTTCAATGCCTTCTCACCTCCTCCCATTGGATTAACACCTAATCATTCAGCAAAAGCTTTTCGATTACAATAGATCACGACATGTATTCAAATGGCTGTGGTGGCTGAGGCTCCTGGTCGACAGCCATTGCGGAGGCTGAGCTCTGTTGTCCAACTGATCCACCGGTACTGGATGCAGCTAATGAGGGTGTATCAGTAAGAGCAAATACTTCGGGTTCATTGGGACGTAGATCTTTCAGAAGCACAAAACCAGAAGATGATGCTTTGATTGGCAAATATCTGCTTGTTTCCGCAAATTTTATGTACTTCTCCTGAGCAGGAACCACCCTAGCGGGATTTGTCAAAATCTCAAATAATGGCTCTGGTACTTTCAAATTCTCTGAAGAGGTATCCACCTGCCCAATCAGAAGGGTCACATTTTCTGAGCAAATAATAACAGTTTCAACGGCAGGTACAATACAAGAGAGCCAAACTTTGAAGTGAAAATGGATAAACAGAAACTTATTTTAACCTGCATAGACGGAGAAGTTGAACTAGTGGCAGCAGAAGATGACTCCGCACCAGATGCCCTCTCGGCACTAGCTTTCTCTGCCTCTTTCTTGCTAGCCCTGGCCTTGGCCCTCGCTGAAGTTGACAAAACAGCGGTAGGAAGTTTGACTGCAGAAGTTGTCGTGGCTACAGTAGTTGGCTTAGGATACTCAAATAGCGACGGCTTAGCTTGTGATACAAACTCAAATTTTGGCATTTTTAGGTCATAATTCAGCCCAATGAAAGCTGTGGGTGAGAAAGCCAAGCTAATGAAATATATAAGCGGATACCAATACCAAAACTGACTAAAAACAGCAAGTCCAACAACTGCAGTAATTTTATCATGTTTTGTTTTCGAAAGTAACTTTATTGTTACATTCCTTCCACCAGCATCAAGAATTCCAGAGGCCAAGATTGCACCCATCTTAATCATGGTATCTTCATGCTTATCAAGGATAATTTTCTCTAGTTGCCGCCTGAAAAAGATAAAAGCAAAAGGCTATTAAGAAAAAGGATGATGGGAAAAACGAAGAAAGACTCAACACGGAAATTTGGGGATAAAATACCTAAAGGCACCAACACGGGAATCACAAGCTTCACTTATTTGGACCATCACCATGGCCATGGCTATGAGAGCGCCTTGACGTACAAAATCAACTACATCTGATGTCAAAGGCTCCAACAATGAGATTGCCTCACTCAGACCAGTACCAGCACATGAAATGCCAACTGCCATAGCCGCACCATAGCGCACATGTGGATTGTAAGACTCAGATAACAATGAGACAATACGAGGCATCTGCAAATTCAATGCAAATAAACACAATTTGCATTTTTAGAACTGAAATTTTAGCTCTCTCTTTTTTTTTTTAAAATAAAAAATAAAATTAGGGGGTATGAATAGGAGGTGGGGAGATGGGTACGTGGAACCAAACATTGCACATTTTTAGAAGACAGTGAAAACTAGTAATCCTGTTGAAAACTGAGACAATATAACATGACGAGGTCGATAAGAACGACATCACATCGGAAAAGCACCAACCTGCTCTGGATTAGAATACATAACAAATCCAAGCGCTAAGACTGCAGTCCGCCTGACGTCATCACTCACATCTGATACAGCAAAATGCAGCAACTGACGGATAGCCTTATTATTTGCTGTTCCCCTGTATGCTAATGCCAGAGCATACATGCCACCATAACGCAATATAGGGTCTTGATCCCTGGTCATCTGCTCGATCAGTGTATCTGCTTCTTCTTCTCTTCCATAGACTGTGAGGGCTATCCCCAATGCCAAACCCCTGCATGCAACATCAGAAGGAAATGGTCAAGCGCATGTTATCATATATTAACATCTGAAAACACTTCAATCATCCCCCACGTTTTGAATGACATATGCAGGTTATCCTACTCATGTAAAGTAATATAGGTTATACTTTTATATATATATCTAATTATTTTTAACAGTCAAAATAAATAAAGCAAACAAACATATTTATTTGACTCCTCATTTAGTTGAATTAACATAATTCAAATAACTTCACAATTTTTGACCTTATTTTATCCAGTCAGAATAATCCAAAATTGTTCCTTTTATACATGCAATCAAATAAATCTCTGCAATTAATTGTTTTTTTTTTTAATTTTATACTGCTAATCGAAATGCTTTAAATAGTCTGTAATCGTCCAGCTTTTGTGTTCTTTGCATTATCAATGTAATCAATATAGTGTTCTCTGAAGATACGCAAGCAAAAGATATTTCATACCGAGAGATAAAAATCAAAAGATACCCATCAGATGAATACAGTTCAAGTATTCAGCAAGCATAAGCTGTCGACTTTACCTGATTATCTTCTCGTGTTGCGTGTCATGAGCATAAGCAAGCATCTCACCTGCCTTCTCACTTGCAGTTCCAACCATTAATAAACCCATACCAATACCAGCTGCTTCTCCAGCAATGGCACTGTCAGTATATAGCACATTCTTGATGTCGTCATAAATGTCCTCATCAGCAGTTCCTAAAGCTGCCAACCCAAGCCCTAAGCAGGCACCATGCTGAATAACCTGCATCCGGGAAAAAAGACGCAATGTGAGAAAAAAATAGGAGGAACAATTACAGGACACCCGGCAAGCATGATCTAACTAATTACCTCCACGTCGGTACTCCGTAGACTATCACGGAGAAATTGCTTGATGCCCTCCCCATGATTTGCATGAATTAAACCAAGAGCATACAATGCACCACCTTCCGAATATGGACTGCCACCTCCCCCAGCCCCACCCTGCGGCAAGTAAGGGGCCATAAGTGATCTCCCTTGCTGCAAGTGGCCACAGTGAATAACACCTAATCCAGCTGTTGCACTAAATTTAGCCCAATTTGTTGCCCGGCTTAGCCAGTCCTGATAATTTGACCAGAATGTTTCTGTTAGAACAAACTGCTGTGCTGCAGACGCAATATGCTAAAGAGAAGATTATTTGCCAGATACTCAAAATCAACTCACCAAGTTCTCCCTAAGGAATGTATCTACAGTTGTTCCAGCATGCATAAGTGCATTTGCATATATCGTTGCACTGTGACACACACTGTTTCTCATCTCAACAGACTGCTTTATTGTCTTGAGAAAAAGGAGATCTGACCTATAGGACAGATTAATGGAAAAAGGGAAAACTAAGTGTTTTCATTCATGTGTCGAAAAAGTAATATAGAAAGAAACTTTAAAAGGCATTAATATTACTTGTTATGGCTGTATAAAAATTGCAAGGTCAACTTTATTGAAGTCTCTCCAGACAAAATCCCTCTGATCTTTTCCAGCCTCTCTGCATATATTGCTTCGTCTGGATCTGCACTAGAAGCAATCAGCATAGAAGGCTGATTTTCCTCGCTCACTGCAACATCCTCCGCAGCAGTAGCATCTCCAGTTTGTGCAGTATCAGACTCAGCAGGTATGAGTGCAGGTTCTGAAGGTTGTAGTTGTGGACTGGAAAGTTGGT